TGTCGGTCCTTATGTCTGTATGTCTGTCTGTCTGTGTTTCTTTTTATCTTCCTTCTTCCTTTCCTTCACTAAAACCAACCACTCTTCCTATGAACTGGAAGGACAAGTGTTAAGTTAAGAATTCTGCCTTAAATTACATATAGCTCGGGTTCAGTCCAACTCTCTTCACCATGTAACCAGGCCTGCAACTGTACTGGTGTAAGTTATGTTCCTGTGTGCGGTGGATCACTGACCTATTTTTCTCCATGTCATGCTGGCTGTAACAAAGCAAACAAAACGAACAAGGTATGAAATGTTAAAAAGAATTATCACAGTAACCATTCTATTGCCGTACATTTTTACAGGAGCACTCTTTTCTGGCAAGCTCGCAGTTATCTTGTAACATCTTTTCTCTGTTGTTTCCTTTCAGGGTTCTTTTTCTTACTCCAACTGTGCCTGCGTCGCTAAAACTGGCCAAACGTCCGGCGAAGCGACGAAAGGCACCTGTGGTGTTGACTGCAGGTTGAACTTGCTCCTGTTTTTGATCATTCTTGCTCTGATGCCTTTTACAGCCTGTGTGAATGACATTCCCGCCACTATAGTTACCCTGAGGTTTGTCATGTATGGTGTAGCTTTAGATCACGTTTTGCGAAAAAATGTTACTACACTACATCACGTTTCATGTAACTTCGTGCGCAGACACCCTTTGAACTCGACACACCAACTTTGTTCTCAGGGTCCTTTCACCTCCTCACTCGAGAAACGAAGGAAGAGATAGGAACAAGGCTGTCGTCACGCGTGGGGAAGGGAAGTTTGCTACGAGCCCAAAGGCATTCTGTGTAGGAGCTTAGCATTTTTGTCTTTAGCTCTTATTAACCGAGCTTAGTTGGTCTGTATGGAGAATCCTGATCAAGATCCAGAGTACAGACCGAACGCAGTTTATTATATGGCAAACAAGAACAATTTAATTCGTTTAATGTAACTGGTTTGTACTAACTGACATTTTGCTCGCGAACAGGGGACGGCTACGAGTAGCCTGCGAGAAGAATGGGGCTTTTCCTCGCCCCATTCTTCTCGCCGGCTAGCGGTTGCGGCTCCGCCGCCGTTGCCCACGATACGCTACCCAAACAACGAGTGAGCCCGTTCGCAGGCCAGGCGATGAGCTGAATTAAATTCTGCCAAAGTTTAGCCGTCCTATTCATTGTTTTTTTGCTAATTAGGCTTTTTGGCACCTCCATAAATAAATATTGTTAGATGAAAATAGTCAATGATTTTGCGTTTTAGTTTGCAATGTCGATTTTGTCTCGATCATGTCTCTGGGGCAACACTGGGCGTGAAAGGGTTAAGTACAAAATGAAATCAGTAGATTTTTGTTACAGTAAAATGCGACTAGAAAGTAATGATAGACTTCAGAAAATCATCATTGGGCACTAGGATTTGTTCTGTTAGGTAATAGTCTCTTGTCATGGTATATTAAGTCGTCTTGTATGACAAACAAAATGCACTTCGGTTGATTAATGGTAGAAGAGCAACAAAGAGTCGATTAATATTGGGAAGACTAGGAATCGGCAATACTTTGCGTTTCAAACATTTTCTAGGTGTGGTTTTTAATCGTAAGAGAAAGTTTACGTTCATCTAACGTTGATCTAACAAAGAAAGAGTTTTACGGCGTCATTCAACGTTTGTTTCCGTTCGCCTCTCAACAAGTGCACCATAGATTAACCTGGGCTCTAAACAATCAGTGCAATGGGTATTTTGAGCTTAAAAACGCCGTTAAAGTAGCTCAAAACAGTTTCCAGAACTTTACAAGACGTTGATAAGTCATTATAACCAATCTTTATCACTTGGTGCCACAAACATGGTATCACAAAAATACCAAGTCATTGTTGAACTCGCTGTTATCATTTTCGTGACACAATAGGTTATCATAGCAGCAGTACGATCTGCTAAAAACACTCTTAATTTTAGCTTTAACAGCTAATAATTCGAAGCAAGCTCGGTGACCCCCATTATATGACGAATTTTGATAAGCATGATAAACGCAACTTTTGGCAAAGTTTTAAAACATTTTGTAAATGGGGTTCAGAGCCACCTTAAATTTTTGATAAATTATGGGTGATTTTAGCAGGTCATACAATTGCTATGGCAACCTATTTTGTCAGGAATGTATGATAACGACGTGTACATCAATGTTGGGCAGTTTTTTGATACCATGATTGTAGCATCCATGGATAAGAACCTTAAGATGAGTGTCCAGTGGTGAATAATGACAAGCCTTCGATGCCCAGATATTTGTATACAAGCTAAATTTGATAATTTTCGTTCACGACATTAAATGAAAAAAAAGCACTTTTTCTATTTCAGGAGTGTCCCACCCGCTCAGCGGTCCTATGCGTTAGGAATCCAGATGGATCTTGTCCGGATTCTGGGGGCCATTCCAGGACCCATTGTTTTTGGCGCCTTACTGGACAAGACATGCATACTTTGGAACACAAAGTAATTATGCTTTACTTGTAATTTTACTGTACACGTATGTCAGAATAACTATAAGGCGGTTTTTGCTGACGTCATTGTTTACATTTTTTCCATTAGCATGCGTTTTTTAACAGAGAAGACATCATGATAGAGCATAGCAGATTTGCACTTGTCGTCATTTGACTACAACTACCAGAATTCCTTTCGTTTTTTTCTTTGAAGCCCCAGTGGGGTTTAAATAACAGTTGCCCTGATTAGCATAAGAAACAGAAAAACTGAAGGATTCTGGAAGTTGTAGTCAAATGACGCCATCATGTAAATCGCCTATTGCCTCCAAACAGTTCAATTCCTTGTGAAACTTTTTAATTGTTGAAAATGGCTCTTTGGATTTCATATTGTAGGGGATTTTGGCTTTCACAAATTGCAAAATTTGCCACAAGCACCCTCAGAAGAAATCGCTGAACGATCAATATTAATCTAACCACCCACTACAACTCGTCACTTGCTATCGCAGTGTTGAATTAAAGGCGGCGTATAGAAGATAGCAGAGTTCATTTTAAGGATGGCCTCTTCTTACCCTCCTAGCTGCACGATTTTTCGCCCAAAGAGCATCGTGTGGTTCACGTTCTCGACAGCTGGTTAATATTTATTGATAGCTTGCTTGCTTTGAAAACGTTTGCTTAGGGGTACCGTTACATATTCTGCAGCAATTCTTAGAGTCATAATGCATGTAACGCTCCTGTTGCGTGACAACCCTTAAGAGTGGTACGGTTGTGAAGAAATGGTTTTTAATTACAGGTGCGGTAGAAAAGGCCATTGTCTGGAGTACGATCATGATGGACTGGCGCAAGTGGTGGTGGGAGTTTTCGTCGCGTGTAAATTCATTACCATGGTATGTTTCTTTCTCTCGTGGTTCTTTTGCCGGCGACTTCAAGCCACGGAAAAGATGAGAGATGTTAACAATGAAGATGGTAAAAAGGAAGGAGAAGGAGAACGTGAAAAAGAAAAAGGAGCTGGAGCCAGTGAGAAAGAATTACCCTGTAACATGGAGACAGTGATGTGAAAAGAATGTGCCTTTAATTTAGGAAAAAAAGCAATAGCGTATGTTATCATTTATCCAAGTACTTTCAAGCTGTCTTGAATTCTCTACGATGTTTTGTCTCAGATTCACTGCAATATGAACATCAGTGTTTGCTTAACGCTACACCCCGGATGTTTTTTGGTCTCCTGGTGGTTTTCTAGATGCCTATCTTAATTGTTGTACTTGTGTATACTTCTTTTATTATTGCGGCAAATAAATGATAATGATTATGATGATTATGATGCTTATGAACTTGCAGAATTCGTTGCACGTCCAAAAATATTTCCTTTGAAGTCCTTAACATGTATCGATGATGTCATATGGCGTAGAAACGACGTCATTATCTCCAAACAGCTTCCACCGTACCTTGAATTTCGTGATTTTTATAAGACCTCTGAAAACCAAAGGAGTCCAAATTGATAAAGAAAGCTCAATTTATCCTAAAAAGTAAAAATTCAGAATGTAACAACGTTTAAATTACAGTTGCCATCTTTGACCAATAACATATCATATACAAAATTGCTCACAGATAAATTTTAACAGAAATCACCAAATTTGCCTTTAAAGACCTTTAAAGTTACAACTGTTCAAAGTTGATCATAAATCAGAGTTTTTTATTCATAATATTGTAATTATTTTCGAAAATCTCAAGCAAAGGAACTGCAAATCACTATGACCTAATCCGAGAGTTTTATACTTATAATGTTATTAAAAAGTCTGATGGAAAGAAAAGAGTGTAGTCAGAGGTTGTCTGCTTCAAATTGCTTAAAGATCCTAGAAAAATTGAAGCTAAAAAACATAATTAGAAAAAGTAATTGAAAAAAAGAGAGAAAAAAAGACACTCAAATGGTCCACAAAGCGTAAAACTGAATATAAACAAAACGAGATAAACTAGGATGAGGTCCCCCGGAACCGATTGAAATCACCAGCAATCAACAGTCTCCAGCGCCTAGTCCCAGCCCTTAGTCCCCCTGCTGGTTTCAGGGAAATTTTTCGTCAATCATTCTCACAGTTGCTACAAACAATCAAGTATAAACAATAAAGAAATGATTAGTCTGAAAGGAACCTGGTATATTCTGTCTTGATTTATATGATCATTTCCCGTACATTTCATTAAATCCGCATAATTTTCACTGTAGCCAGGGAAATTCAACAAAAAGGGGATCCTATATACATATGGGTAATTGACCCAGCATGAGGTCAGGATGGCTAGGATTATTAAGGACAATTTTTTTTTTCTTGCTGGATACAGCACGTATAATCCTGAGCGGACAAGATAGCGCCATCTTACCCGCTCGGGTAGCTAATATTCAACACAGTGTAGAATTTAGTTCATCTTGCCCGCTTACCGAGCAAGACATGATAAGTTACAATATCGCTGAGCGGTTGAACATGACATTTGCTGTTAAAATTTATTTACAAGTGCTAAATGCCAGTCCTCAACAAAAAGGCGAACATTTCTTCTTTACAGTAGTTTCTTTCGTGAAGAAACCAGCTCCTTTAATCAAACAATCAAAGAGACCGACCGAGTGACGAGGAGTAAACCCGCAGGCCTCGTAGCTCCAGAAGCCCAGGCTTCTTTGTGTTGAAATCTTAAATCAGGAGTGCAAACAATTATTGCATCAGCGCTGTAGCAACTTTCCATATATAATCCTCCGTTCGACTTTGGGGGATTTTGATCATGACGAGTGAAAGTGAGGCCTGGATAAAGGAGGGCTTAGATCGTTGCCGTGACAACCGCGCTTACCTATGTAACAAAATATTACATTTGATACTGGTTTTATCTTTTACCGATTGCGTATCCTCCCCTCAGCTTCCTCACGCGAAACCCGGCAAAGCAAATTTTTCGTCTCTGAAAAGGCACTGACTAGATAAAACTCTCACTTGACTGAACTTGCCAAAGACTTCCAATACAAAACTGTCCCGCCTTGTCTTCACAATCCAACATGGCAGTGACTGGAGATAAGTTGTCATATGGCTGGCTGAGATTTCGTCCGAGATGGCTGCAGTTCCTCAACACTCCAAAATGGTTCTTGTTCTTCTTGAGTCAGTATTTCTTCACACAGAGTATCGTTGTTAATGGGGTCTATCCAGGGTCCATCAGCACTATAGAGAAGCGGTTTGGTTTCTCAAGGTTAGTGTGTGCTCTTACGTAATTTCCTTGCATAATTTCGAATCAGATTTCTTATTTGCCGGCTAAATGTTAGATGGGTGTTTCTACAACGATCACAGTGGTACGAGAAAAGGCAGTGAACCTTCCTCTTATTTGGCTTTCAAATCACTCATTTAGAAGCCAAACAATGAATACATTTGGTGTTTAATTTAATGAGAAGTATTTAATTTGCAGATTACTCGTGACCCATGAGAGACATCCCAGGGTTTTACTTAGCTATATTCATGCTATCTAGACTTGGTTCCTACAATGCGCACCTTTGTATCGTCTGCTCTGTTAGTAACTGATAATAAGCGAAAGGGAAAACTAGCAAATGCGACAGATTTAAGCTGCAAACATCGAATGAAAAAAAGATCATTGATCAATTTCAAGGGAAGTTTGGACGGACTTCGTCATGAAAACCTTGACCCGGCTGGCGTGAAATAACACTGAAACGAAAGCTGCAGGCGATTAAAATACATATATCTTATTAGATGTTTTGGTGTGTAGTATCGCTGTATATATTTACAAGTTGTGCCGTAAAAACAACGATGTAAAAATGTACAGCGATACTACACACCAAAAACATCTAATAAGAGATTTATTATCCAACTGCTGTAGTCAATAAATTTATCAATGAAAGAGCCGGAGAGTGTGACAGTTTTGCGTGCGCGCGCCGACCTGTACGGCAAACGGGTTTTCTACTGTACAAATACGACAAACAGGTTTTCTGCTTGTAATATCGTTGTATATTTGTACTGTTATTTGGACGGTATGCGCTGCAGTTGGATAATAATAGCTGTTACCAGATGTATGCTGATTATACTGCTAATTCAAATATGTGACCCTAATAACTATTCTATTGTGCTGTATCTTGACCTGTCTGATCTTTTGGTTTTCTTAGCCAAAGCAAAACAAGAGTGCACGAAAAGAAGAGTAACTGGAGTTCTGCACAGCAATGTAGCAGCGGCACAGCGACAGGAAATCTTATATTTTATTTGCACCAACGAGTCGCACTGCATTCATATGCTGGGAAACTTATACTATGTCAAAATGTTTAACCTTAATGCTACAGCCCGAATTCTTTAGAAATCTTTTTGTTTTCCTATTCAGCTACAGATTACGACTACCAGTTGATTTTTCTTTATGTATCAGATACATTTTGCGAATGCGACAGTCTTATACGCGCGGCACGAATAATTCCAAATGTTATGACCTTTTTTATATAAATTAACCCTTAAAAAGACATTTGAAAGTATCGTACAGCTAAACGAATCGCTCAAAAGAGCGGAGTTCGATGGCTCGTAGGGGAAAAATTAATGTACATTTTTTTTAATTTTTGTGCAAAACGTAGACGGTAGAGAACGTGATATTCCAAAAGAAAAATGAGGGTCACTGAATGTCCAAGATCTTCAAATCCACGCAAAGTTATAGCAGTGGCCACTAGCACTTTGTTGTTCATTTTACTACCTATCGCGAGGACGCTAGTTATGACGTGACGTATGAATGACGTGCGCAGTAACCATGCGCAGAAAATTCGCCCGAACGTCCTTAAATAATGACGTGATGAATAATGAAAATAGTATGAAATACTGAAACACAGAATATAATACCGTTTAATGATAATTGCTGGAAATCTTGTATTTAATTTTGGTGAAAATAAAAGATACCATTTTACAGTTGTCTGTTTAGTGACCTGGCCTTTGAATGGCAGCGAGGCTACAGGTGACCTTGTGTCGATAAAGTCCTCTCTGCTTTTGTTGTGTAACTCAAGATTTCTTATGCTAACTAGTTGGCATTTAAATGAGAAAAGCATAGAGGTCTGTATCAAAGCAAGGTCACTTCCAGCCTCACTTACAGTCATAGGCCAGGTAACTAACCATACAGCAGTAAAATGGCCTATTGTCAAAAATGCTTTTGGTTACAGTTACATGATGGGCATGGTGACCAGCAGTTATGACGTAGCAGCCATGATCGTAACTCCGCTGATTAGCTACCTCGGAGGCTCACGAAAGAAGCCAGTGTTCTGTGCCTGGGGCGTGTTTGCAATGGGCGTGGGTTTCTTTATTTTCATGCTGCCGCATTTTGTCTCGCCTCCTTACGAAGCAGGTATGTTCATCACGATAGGGCGATCTTTGCATAGGTCATTTTTTAAATTTTGCTTCATTGGCATACGAGAGAAAGATTGATTACAATAAAAGGAGCTCAGTCACGGTATTTTGAGATATTTTGGCCACGTACCAGATTACCTTTAAATAGGAGGAAACCTGAAAATAAAAGTTCATTAAGATAGAAAAACTCCAAAGAGAAAATAACAAACCATAAAGGACCAAGGATGGTTAAGGATTAGAGGTTAAGGAGAAGATTGACACGGATTACAGACTACGAACTTGAAAGATCTGGGCTAAATTTTTCAGGATGAGTAAATCGTGACGTAGCTCCTTTAAAGAGCTAGTGAAACTTAGTACATGGTGAAATGTTTAGCCTTTTGAGTATAACACTGACGAAGATAATGGCTTCCAAAACTGCAAAATCTCTGGCTGGCAAAATCGCTTAGAAGCCCATAAATCTTTTGCAAAACTTTTGAGCTTTAAACCCGAGTCACACAACTGATACCCATACTCATAACCGATACTTAAACCAGTGCCAGTAGTAATGCTGAATCTAAAGATTGCGATAATATTTCTAACACTGTTGTTATTCACTTATAATATATAGATTTAGGCCAGCCTAAAAGCGGAGCTCCTCAGTTATTTTTCGGAATGTTGTTACTAA